GCTTTCTTCGTCGCTTTCATGCAAAGAATATTATAAATCAAAATAACTTTCGCTTATAATGTCAACGGAAGGATAAAAATCATCTAGTGAAAATGACAATAGTCATGCCGATAATAGTGACCTTCCTCCAATGTCAATTTCCAAGGAGGAGCAACCCGAATCAAAGGCCACTATTTAATTATAAAAATAGGAGGCAATAAAAAGAGACGGTGCAAGCTTTGCTATAAACCATTTTCATATTTGTAAAAGGTGTAATATACCACTACACACACATTGCTTTGAAAAACTCCACAGCCAAAATAAAATGAAATAGTTAAATAATAATATCTGTTTTTAATGTATTGAAATTGAAATCTTAATTTAATTTAAAAATAAAAAACGTATAGGTATATTTTTCAAACAACTGCTATTTTTCTATTAATGCATTATGTAAAAAAGTGAAAATTAAAAAATGTGGTTAAGTGCCCACTGTTCGATTATTCGAACACCTCCTTTCTCAAAAACAAAAAAAGCAAAAATTTTGGACTTCAGTTTCGTAATTTTTAGCCCAAATATACCCAATATATACAATTTTGACCAAAAGTTCCAATCCTTGGGCGGATATGGGTTAATTACCACTTCATTTATTTATTTATTTCAATATAGGAAATAATGTTATATGTATTTTTTATATTAATTTAATTTTACTTACATAAATATTTATTATTTATTTATTTCTATTTGAGCCAGTGCACTTAAGCACTTATACTCTTTTTTAACTCGAGGTTTCTTCAAAACCCCTCTCTACACCTTGACTAGATTATTGTTTATCACTTCATCAGACTAAGCAATAATTGACCTCAGATGTGCATACCTCCCCGAGGAGGCTGTAACCATTCTGAGTTTTTGTAATTAATTTCAGGTCTCTATCCGTTATGTATTTTTTGATGGGATCAATCTTAATGTCCATGAGGATGTCATTCGTCCTAATGCACCATGGAACTTTGAAAAGTCTTATCAGAGTCTGGCTTTGTGCAATTTCTAGCTGGCGAATAATAGTGTTTGAAGCTTTGCTAAGCGCTACACAACCATATGGAAGTGACGAACGAATTGTTTGGTTGTATATGTTATCAGTTTCCTGTTCTTAGCATTGAAATTTTCATTTCTGAATAGCGGTTGGAGGTGATAAAGAATTTTGGCACAGCTAAGTCTTTTCAATTGAACATGTTTAAGCCATGTGAATTGTTTATCCAGCGTAATACCGAAATATTTAACGCTATCCTCCCAGTTTATTACCATGTCACCCACTCCCACTCTCGACGGATTCTGTTTTCACTTACGCGTTATAAACAGAGCTTTAGATTTTTCATTATTGATTTTCATTTTCCATTTCTGGAAATACTCCAGAATGAGGTTTATATGCTCTTGAAGTGTGCTGATTATGTTGAGGGCATATTAATCTGAGTATAGCATTAGGGTGGCTCAAAAAAACTAAAATGCGATTTTTAATGAGCGCACCCCCTAGGAATATGCCATTGACCAAAAAAATGATATTCCCAAAGTTTTGGATCAATAGAATTAAAAATGACGTTGCGCCACTCGAGCAAAGTTGGGTTTTCAGTACAAAAAACAGAAATTTTTCAATTCAAATTCATTTTTTATCTTTGTTACTTATTTCAATAGTTATTAATATGTATTCATTTGATAGATAATTTAAATATCTTTTTAATAAGATACTGATGAGCAAAATCGGTTAAAAATTATGCGCAAAACACAATAATTAGTTCAGCGACTGTGCTCTGTTTTCTATTTCATACCTTTTAGCTGGCATGCACAATGCTATAGCAAATGTTTACAAGAAACGGAAGAAACATAAATAAAAAATAAAAATAATACATTTCTACTTAATAATTTATATAGATATTTAAGTAGAATTGAAAATGTAGTCAAATCAAGAATTTTTACGTAAGTAAAGAGAAAATGGTCGTACAGGGAGTATGACTGAAGTTAATATCCTTTTAGCAAACGAAGCAAGAGCGACTAAAAATTTCATTGATTTTAATTGGAATAAATTCGATGAAGAAATTTGTCCCAAAATGGAAGCTGAATCTGTAATTAGTTCAACAAAATTGGGATAACGCAGACAGAACGATTCAATTTATCACTCCAATTTTAGTTTCCGCCCTTGACAAATGCAAGGTTTCGGATCGCTACGCTATACATATTTTGTAGTAGTAGGAATGGTTATCTGTGGCGCCCAGGTGCCATCCAAGATTCTCGATGGATGGCGAAAATCATGTACTTACTAAAAATGTATATTTTAAGAGACTAATTTACATATAACTCGGATGGTTTGTACGAAATATATACATTTTTATGGTGAGCATATATGCGAAAATTTTAACCCACACTAGGTTAGGTTATGTTCGGAAGGCACGTGCTGACAGTTGTCAGCACTTATACTCGGAGACATATATTGCCCATTGGGATTCTCTCAAAAAATTTTACCAGGCGATGCGAGTTGCTAACCTTTGTTATCCTTGTTAAACCATTTGGTTTTCCAGATGAAGTTGAGGAGATCCGATAAGTTTGCTTTCGTTATCTCTTGCAAGCCAGTAAAATAAGGATCCCAAGACATTAAAGTAGCCTTGTTTGAAGTCCTGGACAGAGACATAGGAAGTGGTTGATAGATTTTACCTCCTCTTCATCTTGGCAACTTCTCCATAATCCACTTGTTGGAGCAACTTAGGTCAAAAGATTCTAGCGACCTTACAGTCTTCGCGGTTAGTTTATAAATTGATAGTCACCGTATTGATTTCCTCTATTATCCTAAACAGTTTACATATCGGTGTATGTATTTAGAGGTCTGCCCCTCCTGTATGCAGTTCAGAACCTCTTCTGGCCATCTCATCTGCTAGTTCATTCCCTTCAATATTGCTATGTCCAAGTATTCGAAATGTACTATGTCCAGCAAAGAGAGACCTTATGATATTTGATGATTTAGATTCAATTCAATTCAAATCATGATATTCGAAGGACGAATTGTACTTTGTTGTCTAATGTTGACCTCTTTTTCAATAGCATATATCTCGCCGTGAAAGACGCTGTAAGTAGCAGGGATTCGGTAGCACTGTCTTATCTGCATATCTTTCGAGAAGATATCTGCTCCCGTACCTCCTTCCATCTTTGAGCCATCTGCGTAGATAGTAACTGTAGAGTTACCGGTCACAGATCCAAGCTCCTAGCTATCTCTGGTTAGATAAAGAGTGGGAACCCACTAATACAGTTATTCTGTGCCAGACTTCATATGATAAATGATTGTATAGAAAGAGGAATTAGGCTTATGATGGATTATAATTCGATTTTGACAAAATATGAAGAGGAAAAACAATAACATATGTTCTGCAAGTAGTCGAACATTATCATAAAAATTATCCTTCACGTAGTCAGATTTATGTTATAAAACATAATAAACACAATATATTAATTACTGAAAAAAGGGTTTTCTTGATATTATAATTTTTTATAAATAATTAACGAAATCGTAGCATATACGTTTTACGTAATTGTGCATGCCAGCTAAAAGGTATGAAATAGAAAACAGAGCACAGTCGCTGAACTAATTATTGTGTTTTGCGCATAGTTTTTAACCGATTTTGCTCATCAGTATCTTATTAAAAAGATATTTTAATTATCTATGAAATGAGTATATATTAATAACTATTGAAATAAGTAACAAAGATAAAGAATGACCTTGAATTGAAAAATTTCTGTTTTTTGTACTGAAAACCCGACTTTGCTCGAGTGGCGCAACGTCATTTTTAATTCTATTGATCCAAAACTTTGGGAATATCATTTTTTTGGTCAATGGCATATTCCTAAGGGGTGCGTTCATTAAAAACATCATTTAATTTTCCCCTTATAACGTGAGCCCCCTAGTATAGCATACACGTAACGTGAGCATATAACGCCAGAGTCGAGGGACCTAACATTGGAATATCAAATGTGTAAATGTTGTAGAGAGTGGGGGAAAGTGGCGATCCCTGAAGAACCCCTGCTTTAGAAATATCAAAAATGATCATTCCAGTTGACTCTCTTCTACTAGGGGCTGTTTGGATCATTTGGGTCGTTCTAGCCAGTTCAGGTCATTCCTAAAGCCAAATTGTTCGTCAGGGAGTATATTGCGTAAAACCACTACAGTATTTATT